TAGAGGCAATTATAATACTTGCTTTTGTTGCATGTACTAGCATGAAATTATATCATATGGACGTTAAAAGTGCATTTTTAAACGAAACAATTTCAGAAGAGGTTTATGTAAGGCAACCCCCTGGTTTTGAAAACGACTTGCTACCATCATATGTTTTCAAATTAAACAAAGCATTGTATGGACTAAAACAAGCACCACGAGCATGGTACGATAAACTAAGCTCTTTTTTAATAAGTAACAATTTCATAAGAAGAAAAATTGACAGCACTCTGTTTAGAAAAGAACTAAAAGATGATTTCATAATCATTCAAATCTATGTAGATGACATAATATTTGGTGCTACAAACGAAAATCTCTGCCAAGAATTTTACAAGCTTATGTAGGATGAATTTGAAATGAGCATGATGGGAGAGCTGAAGTTCTTCCTAGGACTTCAAATTGTCTAGTCAGATGAAGGGATCAAAATTCATCAAACACAATATACGAAAGAGCTGCTGAAAAAGTATAAGATGGAAGATGCAAAACCAATGAAGTCTCAAATGCATCCATCACCTAATCTTGGTCTAGGAAAAGATTCACCAGATGTAGATAGCACCATGTATCAAGGAATGATAGGTTCACTCTTGTATCTAACAGCATCTAGACCTGACATTACATTCAGTGTCTGCGTTTGCGCTAGATTTGAAGTAAGACCTAAGGAGGTACATTTACAAGCTATTAAACGTATTCTAAGATATCTTAAAGTAACAGCTAACCCAGGAATCAACTTCTATAGAAGGCAAAAATTTTCTCTATTAGGATATTATGATGCAAATTACATAGGGGACAAATGGGAGAGAAAAAGCACTAGCGGAGGATGTCATTTTCTCGGGCGATGCTTAGTATCATGGACTAGCAAAAGGAAAAGCACGATTTCCTTATCAACTTGAGAAGCTGAGTATATCACCGCAGGACAGTGCCTCACGCAATTGCTTTGGATCAAACATCAGTTGGAAGACTACGACATCTATGAGAGTAATATTCCTGTACTTTATGATAACACTGCTGCAATTAGCATTGCTAAAAATCCTGTTTTGCATTCTAGGACTAAACACATAGAGATAAAACACCATTTCATTAGAGATCATGTACAAAAAGGAACCTTCGAACTAATATATGTTAAAAAAGAAGAACAACTAACATATATCTTTACCAAGCCCCTTCAAGAAGATAGATACATCTGGCTAAGAGATAGGCTAGGAATGGAACTGATAAGTGAACAATAAATTGTTGTTTTGTCTACACCTATTTCTTTTTGATGATTACAAAGGGGGAGAAGTAGGAAAGGATCTATCAAACTTGTCCAAGGGATAATCAAGTAAGGGGGAGAACATATACTAAGGGGGAGAGCCTTAAAACCCTAAACCCTTAAATTGCTTAATGATTGCTCTAATGCATGATATGAAATGCATGAACTTGTATGTATATTGTATCTGAAACAAATTGATAGATTATATTTGTCATCATAAAAAAAGAGGAGATTGTTAAGTTAGACGAAGCAATTCTCAACAAGGTTTTGAACATGACAAATATAATACATATTGTTATTTCTAACATGTGTGTTAGTGTTTCAGATAAATATAAGAACAGGCAAAACTGAAAAATAAAGTACGTGCTATTACACATACAATGGTTAAAACCAAACGAAGCCTGGTTGAGCCGTACAAAGCATCAAATGATGGTTGATCAAGCATCAAGACTAAGCCTGATCAAAAGCCAGACGAAGAATACTGAAAAGCGTGTGAGGTCCACTATTCACAACAAGAGGTATCAAATATCGTCTACACTCATAGAAGAACACACGAAGTCATCAAATTTGTGAGAAGAAAGAAGAAAGATAGACAAGTGTGTATCCACAAGTCAAGGCATGTGTGTGTCAAAGAAAGTATACCTACTTTTCAAAAAAAGACAACGCCTCTACAACTATAATGACGGAAAGAGTATAAAAATACCTAGGTTATGATTGAAGTCAGACATAAAAGTGAATGAACTACATAAAAGACTTCACGTAACACAGATTTAGTAAGCAAACATTTAATGCAAGATCAAATGCATTAAATGAAAGATCTATATGGCCATGAACGAACTACTATCTGCGCCAACGGGAAGCTCCGCTCAAACAGACACTTTCAAATTTAAACAACAGACAAATTCATCATGAGGCTATAAATATCAAGACCCAACAAGAGAAGAAAAAGAAGAGAAGAAAAGCAACGAGCAATAAGCAAAAGCAAACGTAAAAGATAACTTACATCTCTTCCTGTACAGTCTTGTATATTTGTGTAGATCTAAGATAGCTGATCTTAGCAAGTGTAGAAATCATCCTATCCTCTCTATGAGAGTAATATACACACTCAAAACACATATCTATGTAAAACTAAGGTTGCATACCTTAGTGAGTGTAGAAACCATCCTATCCTCTCTGTGAGAGTTATATACACACTCAAAACATTAATCTGCTATAAAGCTTGAAGAGGCTAGTTGAAAGAATACTTGGGGAACCAGATGTGGTTTAAGAATACTAGCGCTAACAAGTGAAGTTGGAGAACCAAGAGTGATTGATAATACTTGGAGAACCAGAAGTGGTTTAAGAATACTAACGCTGACGAGTGAAGTTGGCAAATCAGAAGTGGTTGATAATACTTGTAATCCGTTGTGATTAGTGGAACCCTTCAGTTGAAGGAGACTGAACGTAGCTCAGGTTGAGCGAACCAGTATAAAACTCTTTGCACTCTTTATCTATTTTTCAAACGAAATTTTGTTTAACTGATATATCATTCTGAAAATTTTGTTCACTGCTTATTTTTACTGAAACTATCTTCAGACGGAAAATACACTTACGTAACTTATTATTTTAAGAAAAATTTTCCTTGTGCAAACGATAAACTCTCAAACACAAAATCTTTTGTTCAGCCAACCTTGCACTATTCTTAAGTGTTCAAAATAATATTTTTATTAGATGAAAAAAAGTCTCTTTGCGAAAATGGTTTTAAAATTCCTTCGTTCACACACACATTCAACCCCCTTCTGTGTGTTTTTTGGCTAACTTCATTTTGTTGTTGGATTTACCAACTACGATTGCAATTCCTTTGGACTTTTTAGAGGCAATTTGATTCTCATAATTAATTAATAAGTTTAACATCTCATGCAAATCATAATCCATTTTGTTCATGTTGAAGTTAACAATGCATTGTGAGAATGTCCCAAGGAGTGACTGTAAGATCAAATCTTGAGATAACTCTTTCCTAATTTTGCATTCTAACTTTTCATGTTGTTCTATAAGACTAATCATCTTCAAAACATGGTGTCCTACTTCAACATTAATAGTCATTATGTACCTAAACAAAGTCTTAGATAATTGGTATCTAGCAGTTCTACTTTGTCCACCATACATCTTCTTAAGATGATTAATAATCTCAACAAGCTCCATGTCCTCATGCTTCCTTTGGAGTTTAGAACTCATAGATGCCAAAAGGAGGCATTTGGTGCTCATGTAGAGTTCCAAGTACTTTTTATAAGCATTGGTCCCTTGTTCATCTCCATTCTCAGGTTGAGGTGCAATAGGCTTGTCAATTACATCAATAAGCTTTTCATGCATGAAAACAATTCTCAATGAATAGTACCAATCATCAAAGTTGGATCCAACCAACTTTCCATTAACAATTATAGAACGAAGTGATATAGTAGACATTTCAAGATATATAAAATTATAAATAATAAATATTTCAAATCATATTTAAAAATTTAAAATAAAATAAAAATTCTTCCATTAAATATAATATCAATTTTAAGAAATAATTATTTCTTCTCAAGAAAAATAAATGTCTTAAATTTATGAATAAATACTTGGTTGTCAAGTCATTTTTCATACATCTTTTAAGTCATACAATTTTTCTTTTTATAATATACTAAATAGTCTCATATGGTTGTTAGGTTGCTCCTATTAGTATCCTTAGATTAATTTTATACTCTCTTAGGTTGTCTAAGCACTCAGTATAACTTAATTCTAAATTCGCATCTTATGCCATAATTAAATACAAGTCCCCTCACTACAAGAAAACTTTGTTTTAGAGACAAAATTTTTAGTCTCTAAATTAACAAAATCAGTTACTAAATCAATAAGTGACTAAATTAGATACCAATTATAGAAAGTAGTTAAACCACTGGTTGCTAATTTTAGCTACCAATCTAAAGTCTGATTTAAAAACTAATTTAATGACCAATTTTTTTATGACCGATTTTGCGACTAATTTTATAATGACCAACTTAGTAACTTATTCTACAATGACCAATTTATTGACCAATTTTTAATGACCATCTCTGACCAATTTTATAGCGACTGTTTTAATTACCAATATTATAGTAACCAATTTAGATACCAATTTTGATAACAACTAATTTAGTAACCTATTTTATAATGACTAACTTAGCAACTTATTTTGTAATAATCAACTTAGTGACTGATATAATAACTGATTCTAAAGTAACTATTTTAGTGACCAAATTTTAAAATAACAGAATTAGTGACCCATTTTTCAATGACTCAAAGTGACTGATATAATTAAAAAAAAGTAGTCGCTAAAATTTTTCCTTATTTATCTTTCTTATTTATGTCATTTTCTTTCATATTTATTATCTTCTTTATTCAAATTCACCATATATCTAACTTCAATTATTTTTCTACTAAAACATAATAATTATTTAAGTATAATATTAATTATTTATTTACTTCATATATTTATTCTATGTTAAACTATTATGCAAAAAGTCAACATACACTATATAATAACATGAAAATTAAGTAATTAAATTTTTTAATTTTTTAAAACTACACATAATATCACATAGGTCAAACATTTTAATATATCATAACCCAGTGACATATGTCTAGGGAAAGTTGCAAAATCAAATAAAATTAGATTTTAAGCCGTTGTGGGCACAATTTAACACTGAGGCCGAAATCATGTTTAAAATTATAAAATTAATTAATCACTGTAGGATACTTTCTTGTCAAATTTAAAAGCTTTGCACCCTCACTTGTGCATTACAGCAGCCTATGGCAATATATTACCTACCAATTTTCTAGATATTCCGTCATTCGGTTAGTCACTGCCACCTCCAATGCAAGCTAACATACTTCACATTGCCAACATCTATTATGCAATACTAATTCTCTCGTTCCATAAACTTATCCAAAAATTCTTTTAGGAAAAAAAATGAAATAAACTTCTCCGTAAGTTTAAATTAACTTATGTATAAATTAAAAACAAGTGTATGAAGAAGTTACACGAGAGAACTTATACAAATTAGCTTAGAACTTGGTTGGGTAAATTTTGTGCTTGCTAAAATATGTCCAAGAGAAAAAAGTACTATATCAATGCTGGTTGCAAGGAGAACTGTAAGATATATTGCTCCTGAATTGTTCTGCAGAAATTTTGGTGGAGTGTCACATAAATCAGATGTCTATAGTTATGGAATGATGGTCTTGGAAATGCTTGGTGCAAGAGAGATTAATACTAATGGTAGAGTTGATTTTTCAAGTGAAAATTAGTTTCCACATTGGCTTTACAGCCATCTTGAATTAAACCAAGAGTTTCAATTGCGAGGTATTAAAAACCAAAGTGATAAAGAAATGGTGAGAAAAATGACAATAGTGAGTTTGTGGTGCATACAAACCGACCCTTCCAATCGACCTGCAAATTCCACCCAAACCTTTCCTTTCTCCATCCTTGGCATATTCTTCCCCTGAATCACAAACAATAGAGACATCATAGTTATTCACATACAACTTGAAGATGCAATCAATTTCAACAAAGTACAACTGCAGCTACTATCAGTTTTCTGGTGTGTATTGATTATAGTTCATTCATAACTTTTTATTACAATAGGAAAGGAAGGCATGTTCGTATTGCTGCATGCAAATCTCTATTGATTTTCAGGTTATTCAATTGAAATTCATAAATCTCTATGGACATTATGGAATTTATGAGATTATTTTTGTTAATACCTTTGTGCTTTATACACTAGAATAAAAATCTTTTCACTCTGTTTTGACAATTCAAAAATGACAATTTAAACATAAAAATATATTGAGACTACAAATTGGCAATTCACAAATGTGGAGAGAGAACCACCTTGAGGTGGATATTCAGGTTTGAACATGGGTTCCTCAGGTATCACAGTGTACTGCAATAACTGTTCATAATTGTAAGAACAAAAAGATAGACAAAAGTTAGTCAATTTGCTATGCTACTGTTGTATCATTCGTAAATGATAATGAACAACCGAAACAAAACACTTCTAGGAAAAAAATAGTCATACACAAACTTGGTTAATTTTATTTTGTTTCTTCAAATAATTTATTATGATAGGGCCTATCAGCGGAGCTTCGAGTATCCTCACAAAGAATCTAAATACAAATCCAGTCAAATGTGGAGCTGCAAAAAAATAAATTAAACAAAAGAGGAAAAAAATTGAATCAAAATTGATTATAGAAGAAGCAAGGCAGTGAAGTTACCTTGCACAACCTCTCGTTCGTACTTGATGGAGGACAAGTCAACATCCTCCGCCGGCGTCATCGCACGCTTTTTCCCCATTGTTGAAGATCTCGAAACTCGGATGATCCATACCTTTTAGCTTCCTAATTGAATTCGAATTACAAAAAAACAAAAGAAATAAATTCTCAAATCACAGGATGAAGAAAACAGAAAAACCAGAGATAGAAACTACAACAAAGTTAGCGAAGTGCGATGTGAACGATGAACTAAACTATGGTGATAGTAAGCGTTTGGTTTCATTTGTTGGGTAGGGAGAGCTAAGTATCAATGATTTTGAGTCCGGCGTTGTCATTGTCATAGCCATTTTGGCAATATATTTCATAAATGCTCTTATCGGAAAAACCACTATATCATTTTCAAACCTGTTTCCTATTGCTAAAACCAACAAACTCTCTGACTATATTGTTCCCTCCATTAAAATCTTCATCTACATTAGCACCCTCTCGTCAGAAAGACTAATGAGTAATACTAATAACAAATATTTTAAATTTAGATTTCGAAATTCCTATGAACTTTGCTAAACTTACTGGATTCAACTCCTATATCCCTTAATCTTCTTCGTCCCAGAAAGTGAGGCTTATGGAGGACACTTGCGTGGCGTTCTTCTTGACAGAGAGGCGGGTCCACGCCACCACCTTGCCGGAGGGGAGGTGTTTGAGTTCGACGGTCGCGGCCACCACACCGATGAGGCTGACAGAGTTGCAGAGCTCCTTTAATGAGTGAGTGTCTCAGAGAGACCCTTTTCTCTACACGTAAATGTCTCAGACCTCCCTCCGCTCATCAAAAAAACTTGTCTTCATAAACACTCTACACGTGGATAAGAAGAAATCGTGGAGGCTTTTCGTCTCCACAAGTAAATGTTTCATTTTTTTTAATTTTTTTTAAGATTCCTTTATTAATTATTATTAAGTAGCTCTTAAAGTCCATTTCTTGCATGGCAGATATTTGATACTTTAGGTGTTTCTAATTTAAATATTATATACATAATATTAATATTTTAATTTTTATTAATTTTAATTATATACTTAAATAATTTTTAAAATGAGTTAACAGTAATTACAAAAATAATTTTTATTATTTTTTAATTAGAGTTCGATTTATCTAAAATAAATTAATATTAATTAAAAAATCAGTTGTATATTATATTTCTATCATAGATCGATATATTGGTCTCTAATATAGTATAATTAGACACTAAAAAAGTATCTAAAATGAGTTAATAGTGACTAAAAAATCAATTATTATTTACTCGTGTATTTTAATTAGAGACCAAATATTTTTGTGTCAAATAATTTAATAGTGACTGAAATATTAGTTTCTTGTTATATTTTTATTAGAGACTAATATATTGGTTTCTAATATAGAACAATTAGATACTAAAAAAATGGTATCTAAATTTGAGTCAATAGTGATCAAAAAAATAGTCTCTAGTAATATTTAAATTAGAAACTAAAAAAATTAGTCTCTAATTTTAGTGCATCTTTAAGACTAAAATATTGGTTTCTAAAGTATTTTAATAGTGACCAAAATTTTTGTCTCTGATTATATTTTAATTAGAGACCAAAAAAGTTATATCTAATTAAATAAATAATATTTTTTAAACTATTAGCTACTAAAAGTTTGGTCTCTAATTACATTAAAAATATTAATGACAATAGAGATTGAATTAGAGACCAACTATAATCAATCTCTAAAATAGTATTTAAATAAGTTTCTAAAATGACTATATAAATTTGGTCTCTAAATTAGTCTCTATTTAATTAATTTCTTGTAGTGCCTGGTTATTAGGTCGTTCCTAGTAATTAATATACACCTAATATACTTTATAAAATGTATAAAAATGGAGAATTGAAATTATTCCAAATGATGTATTTGAACTATCAAATTTCTGATAATAAAATATTAACTAATTAATATTTTATGATTTTGAATATGTCATATAATTGAAAACAATTCATGAAATCCATGAATTTAGAATATGTTAACAAACAATTTGTCAATAAATTAATTCCTAAATCATGGAAAGCAATTTTTCAATCCGTAAATAGAAAACATGGTGTAACATACATTTATGTCCCATTGTTTTTTTTTTCTTCAATTCGTGAATTCAACACAACATGATGCGAACGGTGTAACATACACTTATAGTATTCTATCATTAATAGAGACTATTCACGAACAAAAGAAAAAAATTTGTATATGCAAAACGTGAAAACAAAATAACAAAATAACATATAAGGGTTTCAGAAAGCTATTAATTATTAACAATGTAATATATAGCACAAAAATCTTGCTCTTGCTTTGATACCAATTCAAAGTTCAATCATGTTCTAAACATGTATAACGGAATTAAAGGATTTATTTTATGCTAAAATTACACATGGTAATGGATAAGATATCTAAGAAAGCAAATAAAGTTTACCCGGTTAGAGTCTAAATTTTAAAACTTTTTCCTTCAAAACTGTGAAGGTCTCACGTGTATCCACATCAAGACTAATCTTTGCTTGTCAACTTCTTGACTTTACAATTTTTCAGTAGATAATATAAGAGAAAAAAAAACTAATTTTTTTTATGCTTTTGCTACTGTGACTCCTCCACTGTGGAGTTGAGTATTTATAAATATGTAAACATATCCACTTTCTCAGCAACATTCATATCCTATCTTCTAAAAAATAGAAATTAACAAATATCCAAAAATTAGTTTTTATCCTTTCTTATCAAAACCACTTTTGACCAGGTCAAAATTAAAATTGAATATTTCAATTTGAAATTAAAAAATTGACGTGTTTTTCTCTCTTAATAGAAACAAACATTATTTATATTTTTCTGATCTTAGTAAAAGAAATATAATAATATTTTATTTATAAGAAAAGTAATTATTTGATAAAATCAAATTCTTTAATTTAATTATCAAATAAAAAATTTTCTTGAGCAAAGATTAGAATACTCGTTAGTGTATAATCCTATAGGTTCAAACCTAAACCAGTAGTAAATTAAATAAATTAATTTAGTAATCAAGGTTGGCATCTACCAACACTCCTGAACATTCAGATAGTATGAAATAATATTTCCAATAACCTTTAGAAGATTAACATAAAATTTTCTTCCATCCTTTACAACTCTAAATTAACTTTAGAATATGTTTTAATTGTCAAATGCTAATAAGTTAACATATGATGAAAAATACAAGAAAAAACTATCTTTTTTCTTTATTATTATTTCAATTGCCTTGTCCAAGGTTCTTATTTTCATTATAGAGCTCAAACTCATTATCAAGAGTCGATGAATCCCTTCTTGCTTAATCATTTAATTCTACAAGAATTTAATTACATCCAATAATCATTTAACTAACACCTTAAGGTATTAGGTGTTCAAAATCAAAGTATAATAAATATCTTATTAATTATTATGATAATCTCAAGACTAAGAAAATTATATATTTCTTCTTAAGAATTTTCTATTGACAAAATTTTGAGGTAATACATAACCATTAAGGAATTCTCCTTTATAGTGTTTGTTCAATAGTTATATCCCTATATGCACTATTGATATGAGTAATTTAATAACTGATATTTATTAATCTTTATCCAATAAAGACTATTACACATATATTGATCTTTCTAGATGAATGATGTGTTATTCTCAATAATCATATGATCAAGAACAATTTAGATAAAATTATAAATAAAAAAAACTTATTTTCTCATTATTATAATCTCTATTATAAAAAGAAGTCTTTAATTTTAATCAAGGACTTTATCATATTAATTATTTCTCATAATCAATAAATATGATAATAAAAGCATGATCTTCTTAATGCAAATAAGATAGATTGGATCTTGGGCATACCTCTTATTCCCAACACCTTCCTCGAGTTGATTTTTTGACTTGAGAAAAAGGAAATAGAGGATTACACATAGGGATCTCTGGAGTTTGGAAGCACATTTGCCAAGGAAGCAAAGGATTGCTCACAAGGTGCTAAACCTATAAGGCTTCTAGGAACCCTAGAATTCTATGTGTCTAGGATACTTCAAGTAGAGAGAATTTGGTTGAAAAGCTAAATTCTCTGGATCATATACTCAAAGTGCATACAATAAAGTGAGGAGAGCTCAATTTATAGGCCAAGGAAGCAAGAAATTGGTGCCACCCACCAAGCCATCAAGTTGGCGTCGAAAATTTGAATTCAAATGAAATTTGAAATTCAAATTTCTTTGGCAGCCACGTGCTATCTCCATATGCAAATCCAATTTAATTTAGGTTGCATTTAGGGTTAATTTTGAGATTATTTGGGGTGGATCAAGGGCAGCCAACCTTAGGCTAGTAAATGTGCACCAAATGCATCTCTAATTAAACTTAAATGTGACCTAATTTAGCTAACTTTGCCTAATTAAGCTTTTCCTCCCAAAACCTACTCTAATGGCCTAAATACAATGGTCAAACTATCCTAAACATTAGAAAATAATAAAAGAAGCAAAATGATCTCAATATTGGGTATCAAAATTCCTAAGGCCCATTAAGCCCAAAAATAGGCCCAATAAGCCTAAGGCCCAAAATCACTAATCCGAAAGCCCAAAATACAAGGCTAAGAAATATACAAGCTACACTAATACATCCTTACTCTGAACATGAAAAATGAGATACCGGCAAATAGCTCATGTGAGGAGCAGCTTGGGCCTGCCAAACCCATTAAGCTCTAAACTAACCAAATCTTCATGTATCCTTTTGCCATGATTTTGGTGGTTGGACCCTTGGTCCATGCTCCTCCATCATAACTCCAAGAGAGGTGAAAGTTTACTTTATTTAAGAACCTAAACCAAATTATTAATATATAGTATTTTCCTAAATGACTTTTTGTTTCATAAACTAGTATTCTTTCGCATTTGACTATTAATATATTATTATATAGGATTCAATGAAAATATACTTCAACTTTGAAAAATTTTACGGTGATTGACTGGTTACTGATTTATGTTATGCCATGGATCTTAGTGCAATGTAAGCACACTTGAAATTTCTATAAGAAAAAAAAATTTGGTTTAAAAGTGGGTGTACTCGTATGGAAAATTTTTATGAAATGAAAATAGTTCATGTTATTATAATGTATTTTATAAGAAACAATTATTTTTCATATATGTATATTCAATGATATATATGTTGAAATAGATAATCCAATTTCAAAGACAAACATCAATCAAAATCTTATTGACTTTTTGATAAATTTTTTTATCAAACATTCAAAAGTAGGATAAATAATTATTAGATAATAATTTTTTCTGCTTTTTTTTTTATATTAAATTTATTTAATTTTATTTAAATATTCATGCATGTTGTGATTATGTATTAATGTGTTATATTTTTTTTTTTGTATTTTTTCCTTTACATATATTAAGATATAGTGCAACTAGGTAGAACTTTTAATTTTTATTGGGAAGATAAGTTGAATGAAGTGGTCACCATCATTATTGATCCTTTTAGAAATGATTTTTTTTAATTACAATATCATTCTAGTGGGTTGATTTTGAGTTCATCGGTGCTTTGCAACTAGTTAAATGTTATGATCTTCAAAATATTCATCTGGTTTGGGTACATTATTTGGAAGATAATAGGTCTTTAATAAGGTTGTTTTTTGAAAATAAAATTGAAATTGATTATCATATTGCAAAAGATGAAGAAGATGGAAAATTTTACAGCAATATATGGTTGATAAAAGTTGGGTCAAAATACTTACAGATGTAATGATGCTTATGTTAATAAAGTTCAAACACTAGTACGATTTGTGTTAAATTTTTAATAGAAACTATTGGCATGTAAAACATCACTATAGGACCAAGGCATCTCAACATCGTTGATACTCCAAGACTTACCAATCTTCTACAACACACCAAAAAATATATGAAATAAGAAAAAAAATGAACAATAAACATTGGGGGACATAGACCAAAATCCATGTACAGATCAATAAAACCAAAATGATGGTAAACCACTATGATTATTGAAAAAGGCTCCCTAATAAAATAGGGCATAACATCCCACCATAAAAAACTACATCTAGAAACAAGTCCAAAACTAGTTAACTTATCAGCGCATTGATTGCCTTCCCTATAAATGTGAGCAAAGACAAGATGCATCTGTGAACAAATAACTAAACAATGCTTCCATCTGCTATGAAAATCCCAAGGGACTAGACTCACATTAGAAAAAGGTTTTAGAGCAAGTTCTAAATCACTTTCCAACCATAATTAATGCCAAGCAACAGAATGAGCATATTCAATAGCAATCATTAGCGTAATGAGTACTACATGTAGGTTTATTTTCATGCCAATGTACAAGGTAAAGTCACTGACAAAAAACACCACTACTAACCCTAAAAATATCGCCACTAGCCAGATTCCTAGGAGCTCCACAAGCTCTTCCATCAGTATTGCACTTAATGAAACCAACAATTGGAGGATGCTAGTCGACTTGCTTAATAATAAGGCCAATGGCAGGCTTAAAAGTAGCTAGAAAATACTTCATAATTTGGAATTCTACCACAGAACAAGAGCAATAACCTTTGGACAACCTACTAGACAATGCAACCCCAACAACAATCCATGAAATAACTTGATGTAGTGAAATTGTTTGATTCTTAAAGCACAAGCAACTCTGACCATACCATATTACCCAAAAGGTATAAACAATCGCTAAAGCTAGGACATCAAATAGCTAAATACTCCAAGGCTTCTCCATAATCTATAGTAATGTAGGAACTAATGAACGATCAATAGGGCATTGAATGGCATCTTATAGCCAAGACCATATATGATGGAAATCTTCAAGAATTGGTTGAATGTTTTGGCTTCTCCTTCAAGCTCCTCCCTAAACCTTTGACTTCTTGACACTTCTCAAGCTTCTCCAAGGTCTCTAATGGAGGTAGAGACCTCTAGTTTCACCTTAGGAGGTGAAGAAATCTCTTCAAGTAATGCCACTTCTAGGAAGAAGATGAAACACTTCAATTCTCTCCACACTCTTTAGGAAAAGGATAAGAGACATATAACCAAATCAAAGAGAATTTAGGACTTTAGGGAGAGAGAGTTCAAAGGAAAATCTCAGAAATCTCTCATAAATGCATCCAAAGTGAAGTTTACAACTGAAGAAACCTATATATAGTGGTGAAGTAGCTTGTAAAGTAAGTTAGACAAGGTAGGGACAAGGTAGGAACACTTAGATCTAGATTAGCCAATCCTAGAGTGCTAAGTGTCACCGTGTCTCCTAGGGAGACAAGGAGGAGACACCTAGATCTAAAAGGCAATCAAGAGGTGCCAAGTGTCACCTTGTCTTCTTGGCTAACAAGAACCAAGTGTGTTGGAGAAGCTTCAAGAAATTCGGCCAAATAGAGAGAATGGTAGCCTAGGCTTGTCTTCCTTCACTTAATCCAATCCAAAATATTGGAATTGGTTTAGCTAGGTTCACCAAATGATGGTGAGGCCTAGCTAAATCAATTCCTTGAATTAAATGGAGCAAAACAAGCCTAATATGTAAAATTTGGCTTAGGCCCACTAAAGGCCCAATTACTAGCGTCACCTACACACTTGCTATTTGCTACCCCACTACTAATACTAAAAATATGAAAAACCATGACCCTTAATACAAGGTCAAATAGAGTGCAAGTCTCTAAGTAACATACTTTAAAATTCTAAGGGTATGACCTACAAAGAAAGATAAAGGTACCTTACAAATACAAATAACAAAATACACCTATACAAGCATCTACTATGTACAAAGTACTATACAAGGTATATACAATAGAGACTAAGGGACTATTAAGAGGAATCATACTCAATGCTTATATAGAGCATAGGTCTCATAGGCACATCTTCTATAGAAGCTTCCTTTAGCCTCCCTACCGTGGATCTAATTAAAGGCCTAATGATCTTCAAGTATGAGCTCTCCTTTGATGATCCTCCATCAATATAGCAACGATGAACCAGTAACATAGAAAAAAAATGATCAGAACTCACATTAATAAAATCGTAAAAACTACACATAAAGACAATAATTATACCACAAGACTGTAAATTCTCATCTATTTGCAGTTTATTATGAAGAGGCATCCATAACACACAAGACCAAGAAAGGTGAAAAATTAGATCAAAGGTACATAGCCCATGTAACCTATTGTCCAATAGGCTTGACATGTAATAATTTAGTTTCTTTTTATGTAGGTTAGCAAGGCTACCTTTTTTCTTAGTTTGGACCTCACCTAAACCTTGTAAAGAGAGAATTCTGCAACTGACAAATATAAACTGTGTTATAAGTCGTTTATATCATTAGTTTGAATTTAATATTTTCAATAATTAACTTATAAAGCAAAATTATTGCAACCTTTGAAGAACAGATCTCATGCACAGTGGTATAACACGAGAAGACGACATCATTAATAAAATTATATAAGATTGATTGGTTAGTAAAATTATAAAATTAGTCAAAATGGGAAGGAAAAAAAGTATTGAGTCGGCCATATTAAAAAATCGTTATTTTTAAGTGTTTTTACTTTTTAATAAACAAAATATTTTTATAATAAACGAATGAATGATATTATATAAAGTATAGGAGATGCTCCAACATGTATACAAATCAATAATCAGTTGAGTAAACAAAAGTTTTTATTTTTTTATTTTATTTATAAATTAGTGTGACAACAACATAGTACATATTACTACAAATAAACCATAATTAAGTGTAACGAATAATGGAACATGATATTTCTTATATAAAAAAATTCAAATATGGCACATCAAATAAAAGAAAGTTGTAATTTCATGCATCAAGGACAGACACAACTATCACACTTCTATAATATTTTAGTCAAATTAGCACAAAGTTTAAAAAATATTATAGTATTCAAGCTATAAGAAGTAATTTATAGTCTAAAATCAATTTTCGTAATAATATTTAACTAGATAATTTGAAGTACCTGCAACTAAGACTACTGTAAATTGACTTAATTAACATAAAATTGAAAAGAAAAATAATATACGGAATGCAAGCTAAGAGATATTTGGTAATTTATAAATACTATCTCCATTTCATTTTAATACAAATAAAAAATATAATAATTTTTCTTACTTTTCATAAAATTAATAATTTTGATTTTTTTTATTATTCTTGCTTTCCTTTTTATTCTGTAATAAATACATATAAGTTGTTAATTTGTAAATTAATTAAAAATTAGGTAAAATATAAAAATATAATGAACAAAAATAAGAAGTACTTATCAACAAAACAAAAATGAAAATTAATTAATATTACTATCATCTTTTTTAAATAATTATTAAAAAACTATTAAGGTTAGCCTAGTGGTTGGGTGTGGAGGGGTTGTGATAGTTAGAAGCATAAGAACTAGGTTCAATTCTCACTGCGACCATCTTTGTAATCTTTCCTATCTTTAAAAAAAAGAATTATTAAAAAGAAAATCCAACCACTTCACCTATTTCATTACCCCCGCCCCCAACCGTTTCTGGTAGGGATGACAAATATACCCGTACCCGCGGGTAATACCCGAACCCGTCCCGACTTTGACAGGGAATACTCGGTTTGATCGGGTACGGGTACGGGTAAAACCCAATATATTAAATCGGGTACGGGTACGGGTACGTACTTACCCGCCCCGTACCCGTACCCATACCCGTCCCCGTTCCCATTTTTAATTAAATACTCACTTTTAATTTAATTATATTAAAGAATTTTAGTATTTTTTATGTGTAATTATTTATTATAATATGAGATAGAGAAATAATCTAATTATAATTAAAAAAATAATTTAAAAATATTATATTTTAAAAAATAATAATAAAATAAAAAATTTGACGCATACGGGTACGGGTACGGATATACCCAATACTCGACGGGGACGGGGCTGAAGATGAAAATCACATACCCGACGGATACGGGTACGGGTATGGGTTTGGCTCGCGAGGACGGGTATCATGAAACCCGTACCCGCCCCCCTCGTTGCCATCCTAATTTCTGGTACCTTTATTGAAATAGAATGGTTTCATCCATTCGTATCTCTTTTTCCAATTGCATATCAGTTAGTTCACAAGATTGAATGACCAATTTTCTGCATTTAGGCACAAACAAAAATGCCAAATAAAAAGAAACCAAGGAAGTACTGCTATTTAATATGATATTTTATAGGTTTAAATTCACTTTTATTTTTTTATTATTTTAAAGTAATCATGGCATATGTATACAAAATTTTACTAAACAAAGATGCCAATTAAAAAGAAACCAAGGAAATACGAGCATTTAATATGATATTTTATAGGTTTAAATTCAACTTTTTAAAAATATGTATGAAATATTTATTATCTAAAGCTGTGACTACTTTCATATTTAAATTCACTTTTTATTTGTGAATATGTAATTTTTGTCTTCAATTTTTTATTATCAATTTAATTTTTAAAATTAAGTAATATTAATTTACTATTAACTTATCATTAAAAGTTAAATAAATTTTTTTGAGATGTATTTATCTATATTATACATAGAGATACTTCATTTGAGTTTTCACATTTTATTTTATATATTTATATATATATTATATATATATATATATATATATATATATA